CATGGTTCATTCAAAGAACAGGTTCAAAAAGCCTATTTTCTAAACCAAATCTGGCTCTCCAAAGCTGAGCTTCAAGCACCCACATTGCCAAATGATCTTGAAGTCTCCTAAGGTCTATATTGTACCCTTTCAACCCCACAAACCCTCTTTTCCATCTTACAAGTTTGACACCCTCTCCTCGGCACAGGCTTTCATAGACTTTTAGCTGATCTTTGCTCACTGATTCCTGCTTGGTCTCTGATGCCCCATTTCCAAGCTTCCCTGCTTTTTCCTCCTCCAATAACTTCACGAAGTATGGCAGATTCAACCGGGCTTGTGCATGAGAGGAGTCTAGACAAAGGAAAGGAAATAACGAACAATCAATATCGTCAGCCTAAGATTTTCCTAACCTAAGCAGGGCAGCGAAGACCAAGAATGTAAAATCTTTCCAAACTTAACAAAATAGGTGTTAATGATGGTATAACTGCTCATTTCAAAAGAAAACATAAAGCAGTCAAATTAGAGGTGGCCCTTTGGTCAGCTAAGGTGATTATGAATCTAGCTCTGGAGTACCTTTCACCAAGTTCCTACAGTACTCTGAAACTCTGTCATGCCACTTTGCACAATTCAATGATTTTATCTGTTTATATGTCTAATCTACCAGTGTCATCCCCAATAAGACCACAAAAAAGGGAAAAGTCATAGATATCTCTCTCTTTTTTTTTCTTTTGACAGATCATTTAGCATGTAAAAGACCTCAGTAAATTTGTTAAATTTAGTAACAACGAGGTGGTTCTGTAATACTCCTAATTGTTGGTTTTCTTTATATAATATCTTCCTCTAAAAGGGGAAATACACCACCTATCAAGGAGCTCCTTCCCCTTTTTGGCAATTACATCTTTTCATACAGAACACTGTCTGTGTACTCTATTCATATGTCCTATGCTAACTAACCCTTAAAGCCACAAAGAAGAAATATAATCAGTTGCTCTAATTCTTTAGTTAATACCTCCTTACTACAATAATTTGAATTACTTATTACAATTCTGACTCTGATTTCTATTTGTGGATTTTCCAATACCACCAAGCAGTTCCTATAACTCAAAATTTTTTTAAAGATTTATTTATTTATGTTTACAGAACTAGGTTACAGGCCAGAGGTGTGGTGGGTGAGAGGATTCACAAGAGACAGAGCTGGGAGCAGACATTCAGACTGACAAAGTACACTGCTGAGGGGAGCAGTCGGTGGGTGAGAAAAGGTCTGTCATGCCATGAGGGTCAGCTCCTTGTCCAGAGACCAAACTCATGCTTAGTGGCTTCAGAGAGCTTCATAATGTGGTGTGTTGCACTGCCAGAGAGGGCCCCAACTTAATTCAATTTTAACACTATCAACCTGAAGATAACACCAAGTCCCACATCTTAACGGTTTAGTCCTATAAATGGTTTAGTCCTATAAAGGGTTTAGTCCTTCCTCCACACTCCTCGTTTGAGACATGTCAGTCAGTGCTTCTGATGGCTCCAACTTGGAGTCAGTTATTTGCTAGAGTGGCTCACAGAACTCATGAAACATTTTATTTACTAAAAATTTAGGAACAGCCAAATAGAAGAAACGCACAGGACAAAGTCTGTGGGAAGGAGTGCAGAACTTCCATGTTGTTTGAGTATACAACTCTTCCACAGATTCACCCACTATGAAACTCTCCAAATCCCACTTTTTTGGGTTTTTAAGGAGGCTGAAGTACAAATTTGCAATGATTAAGTCATTGGCCTGTAGAGGTGTGTTTCACTGAAGGTCAGGGGACGGGTCTACAAGTCTTACACCTCAAGTCACTTGATTGGTTCCCCTAGCTACTAGCCCTCATCTTTGGATATCTAGAGGGATTTCAAAACTCACCTCATTAATACAACAAATGAAAATAAAATATATATTTCTTATTATATGTCACATTTAGTCAACAAAGAGCAAAGTGTTTAGTACTACACTGGGAGTTGAAAGAATTTAAAAAATAAAGGTAAGCCTTCGTTTACTGGGGAAAACAAGTTCATAAAGTTGGATAAAAACAAAAAAAGTAAAGCACAGTAAACTGGTAAAGGGATCACAGACTACTATGGAACAAGTGGAAGATATACTTGTACATGGAAAGAGATGGATGTTAAGAGTAGATCTATCAGAAAAGAGAATGCCTCAGTTGTGAGGCCTGTTACTTTTTAAGGACAGCTTTATATTGGTACAAATAACTCAACCATAAGTCAGAATTCCATTTGTAAGTGAAAGCAAGGCTTTTATTTCAGATAATGGTAATCTTACACTTGGCAAAGCCATGTAAGTATTTACAATGCAGGAAGAAAAAAACAAAGCTAATATAGACAGAGCTGCCTCTTTTAGCTAACTAATAAAAATTTTTGTAAAAGGGAAAACATGCAAAAGGGAGGTATGTTTGCGTGCCTGTGTAGGTGAAAGATTGTCCTTTTTGAAGCAGAAATTCCAGTGGTATTTATCAGTCTTCTCTGTTAAAGTTTACAGTGATCTAGATATTCCAAACTTCCCAGTTTTAGGATGCTAGTGATATATGCACCTATAAATTCAAGTTATTATTACCAAAAAGATAAAAAGGTGACAAACAGACTTGCAATATCAGGGGAAACCCTTCAAGCTGTTTAGAACTGTGTAATTCTGCCCAAACTGGCTAAGCTCTAAAGCAACATCTGCAGAGAAGTCCTTGAAGCAGGGCCCCCTATGTTATTAGACCCCTAAATTATCAGAACCTTCTAGCCCAGAAGCCTGTCCTACCTCAGTGTAGGTCCAGACTGGGCAGTATCCAGGATATACTATAAAAAGGACCGATCTGATCAGAGCTTGAACAGCAGCAATCAAACAGCCAGGATTGGAGTTGCCTCCCCCACTTTCTGGCAGTTATGCAAATAAAATGCAGACCCACCTCCTACCCCACCTTTTGACAGCTATGCATATATAGGATAGAAAGTTTCCCAATGCTTTGTGGAGCGCCTATGGATGCCAACCTGCTAAAAGGACCAATCAGGTTCGAAAGGTAGCCACCCAGGAATGGATTTAAGCTAGGCTCCAACCAGCTTGAAGAGGGTGTGTGGTGAGGAAGTTTGGAAGAAACTTGAAGAAGTTGAAGAGGGGACCTCTCTGGTGGTGGAACAAGTTAAAGTGCAGCACTAAGAAGCTAATCCGCAGCCAGGGAGGTGACCCTCAAGTCAAGACCCTTCTTGACTTCCCCGTTGCTCCCCTCTGCAGTAAATTTCAGTTGATCTGCCTGCTCTACACCCCCCTCTGTCTCTGGTGGGTCATCTCACTCCCCACTGGCCTGTACCCCAGTTCCTATATGCACAAGTAAATAATCTTTTAAAAAAGACTTACAGAGGTACTTGGAGGAGCAGTCAAGATTCTTCTGGAAGCTGTAGCACAGAACCCTGTCCTCTGGTACCTCATCTTCACAGGCCTGACTCTGAAATTCACTGCATGCCTAATGACACCACTGGCCCTGTGCTAGGTGTGCCTAAAAGAGCTGTTTGCTATTGGCTTTATGTCTAGCGTCTCTCAGAGCTATTACACTGGTCCCTGCCAATGACATGTCTGGCACCACCAGCTGATGCTGTTGCTTGGTCCAGTGTTCAGTGCTGCCTGGGCCCAGCCTGATGATTATTGTTGGCTGATGTCTGTGCTGCTACTTCTGCTTCATGTCATTGCTACTGTCTCTGGCTTTGCCTCAGGCTTTCCTTTCTTCCAATTTATCTCCCACTTCTCTCCTTTGTAAATAAACTCTGGTGTAGTTGAACCCTAACCCTGAGTGCTCTTGTAACTGACATAGATAGTGACCTGTTCCCTATCCTGACACTGTCCTTTGGCCTGTATTGCACTGTGCTTTGGCACTGTTATATTCCCACAACCTAAAATTACCTTAGGTTCCTTAACATTTGCATAACAAAATTCCTACTCGAGGGAGTACTCAGATACCACTTTCTGAACATATGAACTATTAAATGGATAATCTGAAACAACAATGTACATTCTAGACAAGACTCTGGACATACTATTTTCCCCATGCCCTGTCCAAATAACAAGTCACATAAAAACCCTAATTCCTTTTAGGAAGGAAGGGAAGATGGTGCTCTGAGAATGACCACCACATCTCCTTGCTTGATTAGAGTAGTAAAACTCTCTTTACCACTAGTATCTCCAACAGGTCTGGCCAACTGATGGATGCCAAGAAAGTAAAGAACCTCATGAGTTCAGCAACATCACCAAGAGGTTAAGAATTAGTGTATATGCATAAATGCTACTTTTCTAATGATCTCTCACTCTGTTTTTGATAGCCCCTTTCTCAATTTAAATGACATGATTTATCAGAAAACTATCCAATATCCCAATAGGGTTTATTATTCCTATAATTTATCAAATTTATACAAGTCCATGTATAAGTTAGTATGCAGAAACCATATTTAAATGAATCCTGGAGGCCAGAAGAGTTTACACATGTACTCAGTGAACACTGACCAGTCCAACAAATCTTGCATCTAAAGTGATACTGCTCTGCTGTCCAAGTGAGAAAAAAGTGGCAGCTCCCTACCTAACAACTGCTCAGCTGAAGGGAGAAAGCGTAACACAGCAAATGCCTCTATACTTTAAATTCCCAGTTTCCTCAATTAATTCTTCTTTTACAACACCCCTTTGAAATCCGGAAAAGAATTTATATATATTTCTCTTTTTGTTCTGGAAAAGTATGTACATGTTTTGCTATGAGATTGCACTGTCCAAATAATTTTTTGTTGTACCTGAATAAACCCATTTTGGTGGTAAAAGAACTCTCTGCTTATTACTTTGAGGTCAACACCTACATTTTAAATTCAAATAGTTCTTGAAAGCTTATTTTAAAAATTGTAATCACCTAATCCAACTCCTTCCTCTCTATTCCCAGGTCCCAAAAGCAGCCACATTCTTCAGTTTTTTCCTTTCATATTTTATCACTAAATACCTACATGAGAAAATAATTACACCTAAGTTTGCTTAGGAACCAAATAACAACTGGGCTCTAGAGCAATCATTTCTTCAGTAAGACAAGATACCTCTTAAATAATCAGCATTAACTGATTAATACTATTCCAAAAACATACAGTTAGGAGTTTTCACTGTATTTGTAGCTCATTAGTAAATGGGTAAAATACTCCTTGTTCATCACGTCTATTTCATCTTTTTGGAAACAGAAAAACTGTACATACTGCAACCTTCCTTGATTAGAGTAGTGCCTTGATTGTTCTGGACAACAGAATGTGGAGAGAAGTGATAGATGCCATTACATGCCTGGACTTTAACATGTATCATGAAATTTCTTATGTGCAAGGATGAAAAGACTCTAAAATAGCAGAGTTATCCTGGAATGGAAGAAATCTAAATCTTAAGCCAACTTCTGGAAGCAAGTGGCCCAATCAGCATAGGACTTTGCATGAATAAAAATTAATTCCTTTGGGTTACTAAGATTTGGAAATTTATTTGTTACCAGACATAGTGTAACTTGTTCTAATACAAATGAGTCACAGGAAATATGTGGAATACTCCACCCAAAGCCAAGGGAAGGGTCATTTAGTAACTGGGATAAACGATCAAGTCAACACAGGGTAAATCACTTGCTTTATATCATTCCAGAGTCTTACCAAGAGAAAGCAGTTGGTGGGTGAAGTCCACAGCCCTATACAAGTCCCCAAGCTGGAAGCTGACATTACTGAGACAATCCAGGACCTGAACCTTAGAGATAGGGCTTTGCTCCCCTGAATTCAACTGCCTCAGTGCCTGTTTCATCCAAAGCATTGAGTGATGAAAGTCACTGATGTTGTGGGCTGTCTGACCCAGTCTGAAGCAATCACTAACACTCATGGGAGAGCGATACTTAGTTCCTAGAAGCAATAAGAACAATGTTATTCCTAGTAAAGGACATAATGGGTGATCAGTGGGGCCAACAGAGAGAGATTCACCCTATTCCATTCCCTCTCCCCAAATCCAACAAGTTTTTTCAGCTATTGTGTTTCATATTTAATCTCTAGGTACATGCTTCATAAAATAATTATGTTATCTTTATAACTATTTTTGGTTAAGATAAAGATTTACCCCCACAGAAGGCACCAGGATGAGCTCCCATAGGCCACTGGGTTAAAGGTGATATAATTTGTTTAAAAGGGTTAAATAGTGCTCACTTCACAGCATAAATAATAAAATTGTTATGTTACCGAAGATTGTCATGGCCCCTGTGCAAGAATGACATGAAAATTTATGAAGTGTTCACATAAAAAAATTTTAAAGGGGTATTTTGGGGTAAAGAGAATAAGTATAGAACAGGGGATACGGACAGGTTATGATCTAAAATGATACAGGAAGGAAACACTAATAAAAGCTTTATTTGATAAAACAGGATATTGAAAATCATCTGCCAAATAATTCCAATAGCACTGACAACAGATTTAACTGTTCAATTTCTCTCATCATTTCTAAAGTCAGATCTGTTTCCTGAAACATAAAGTCTTCCTGGTTTTCATTTCCCAGATCCCATAAAAGGTACAGAATACCCAGAATGCACCACCACAAGACTGATATTCTAACAGATATTAAGAGTTAAAGTAGCTTCTTTTCTAGATCTCTCAAGTCCTACAAAATAAATTAACAAGTTCAAAAGGCAAAAAGAACAACTTTAAAGCACCTCTTCACAAATAAAACCCATGGACATTGCTTACCTGGCAGGATCCCCTGAGAAAGAGCTTTTGGATCCAGTTTGTATATACGCTGAAGGAGCAACAGGGCTTTAGCAGCCCCAATCTCATCCTCCTCTGTAGGGAAAAACCTACGCAACGATGTGAGCCTGGCAGCAAATTCTTTCACATTCCACAGAGGCAGAAAGCAAAGGAGAGAAGAAAAAACACATAAAATTAAAAAGATACAAAGTACAGATAAGAGCATGCAATATGACCCCAATGCAATCTACTTCACATATAACTGAAATCATCTAGAAATAGTGAGAATGGAAGGACTGGGGCAAATACACCTTAAAACTATGACTTAAGGGCCCTCCCTGGTGGCGCAACGGGTTAAAGAACTGCACTAAGAAGCTTAAGCCACTTCTGCATGAGTTCGATCCCTGCCTGCCCTGAAGGAGCTCCACATGGCGTGGCAGATCTCTCCTGACCCGCCCACTGCTCCCCTCAGCAGTGTACTTCATCGAACTGCCTGCTCTGCTCCCCACTCTGTCTCTGGTGAAGCCTCTCACCCTCCACATCTCTGGCCTGTACGCCAGTTCTGTATGAATAAATAAATCTTTTAAAAAAACAAAAACAAAAAAACTATGACTTAAGTGCACACACAAGACCAAGAATAGAAGGCAGGGTGGAAAAGAGTTGTTATATAATGAACACCAACTCAAAGTTTTGCAAGATAAAGATTCCCAGAGGTTGGCTGCACAAATATGAATACTTGTGTGTGTGTGTGTGTGTGTGTTTAAGATTTTTTAGGTTTATTTATGCATACAGAACCAGGGTACAGGCTAGAGGTTCAGGGGCAGTGAGAGGATTCACCAGAGACAGAGTGGGGAGCAAAACAGGAAGATCGATGAAGTACACTGCTGCTGAAAGCAGCAGGCAGGTCAGGAGAGGTCTGCTGTGCCATGTGGGTTACCTCCAGGGCAGAGGTCGAACTCACACTGAAGCTGCTGTAGCTAGCTTGAGGTGCTGCACCCTAACCCACTGCGCACCAGGGAAGGCCCCCAAATGTGAGTACTTAACACTATTGAACTATACTCTTAAAAATGGTAAATTTCAGATGGTAACTTTCATGTTATATGTATTTTACCACAATTAAAAACAGTATGTAACTGACCAAAGGACACACACATAAACCAATGGAACAGAACAGAACATACACACAAAAAAAATCTTCACATGGTCAACTGATTATCCAAAAAGGGCACTACAATTATTCAAGGACAGTCTTTAAAATGATTCGTACAGGCCCTCCCTGGTGGCACAGCAGGTTAAAGCACAGCACTGATAATCTAAAGCCGCTTCTGCATGAGTTTGATTCCCGCCTGCCCCGAAGGTGACCACATGGCAAGGCAGACCTCTCCTGACCCGCCCGCTGCTCCCCTCAGCAGTGTACTTCATCGATCTGCCTGTTCTATTCCCCACTCTGTCTCTGGTGAAGCCTCTCACCACCCCTGAGCCTCTGGCCTGTATCCCAGGCCAAAAAAATACATCTAAAAAAAAAAAATGAGTGGTACAGAGAAAAGTGAATATTCATATGCAAAAGAATGAAATTAGGTATTTACTTTACATCACATATAAATCAATTCAAAATTCATAAAGTCAAACCCACTAAGTTTTGTCAAAGATCTTAACTTTTGAGTAAAAACAGTAAGACTCTTAGGACAAAACACTGGGGGAAATATTCATGACATTAAACAACAATTTGATGAATATGACCAAAGAATAGGCAGAAGAAAAACAAAACCCTCCAACTTTGTACATGAAAGGATAAAAAGACAAAAGATAAAAAGACAATCCACTGATTAAGAAAAAAATGAAAACCACCTATCTAATAAAGATTAATACTCAAGAATATAAAAAGAACTCCTAAAACTCAACAACAAAACAAAACAAAAAAAAAAAACAGTGTAACAAAGGTGCAAGGGACTTAAAGACATTTCTTCAAAGAAGATAAATTCATGAAAATGATTTAAACACATAGCCATGCCCAATAAACCCATGAAAAGGTGTTTTACATCATTAGTCATTAGGGAAGTACAAATAAAAGCCACAGTGAGATACCACTCCACAACTATTAGTATGATTATCATTCAAAACTAGAAAATAAAAAGTGTTAGCAAGGATGTGGAGACAATGGAACACTTATGCAGTGATGGAGAAAAAATAAATAGGTAACTGTGAAAAAGAGTTTGCCACCTCCTCAAGAAGTCAAACATGTAATTACCATAAGATCAAACAATTCAACTTCTAGATTTATATCTAAAGGAACAGAAATCAGGGACTTAAACATGTATCTGTGGACCCATGTTCATAGTAGCTTTATTCACAATAATCAAAAGGTGACATAGCCCAAGTGTTCATCCACAGACACCATCCACAGACACATAATAGACCACCACTCAGGCATAAAAAGGAATGCAATTTTCATATATGCTACAATATATGGATGTTGAAAACATATTGAAAGAAGTCAGTTACAAAAGGTCAAGTAGTATATGACTCCATTCATACAAGATACTTATTATAGGAAAATCACAGAGATAAAAAGCAAAATAGCAGTCACAAAGGATTAAAGAAGAGTAATTGTTTAATGGCTACATAGTTTATGTTGAAGATGACTCAGAAAAAGTGTTGAGATAAATAGTGGTGATAGACACATCATGAATGTATTTAATACACTGAATTATACAATTACAAATGTTTAAAATTTAAAAATTGGTATGCATATTTAACCAAAATAACAAATAGAGAAAAATAAAACAAAAGCCAATTCTCTAATCTTTTTTAAATATAAAAATGGTCAAGAAAAGACAAGTCAGTAGCAGTGAAGAATGAAATGAATGATCAGTGATACAAAGGATAATGAATATGATAAATGAACAAATATCAACAGGTATAGACCAATACATTTTAAACTCTAGGAAATAAAAACAACAAAATTTGGTACAAGAAACAGAAAACTTAAATATACCCATCAACATTCAAGAAGGGAAAATAAATATTTGTCTCCGAAAAACTCCTCAGTTCTTTATCATTTTATTTGTGAGATCTAAAAGTTTGAAGGAACATATTCTCAAATGCTCTCACAAGCTCAGAGATTCAGAAACACAATCATCATATATAAACATGTGAACACCTACATGTATACATGTGAATACAGGCATACACACACACACAGAGTCCAGCTCACCAATGGATGGTTCATCAACGATAAAGCTCTCCACTATTGACCAATCCTTATTTAGATGCTTTAGCACCTTGTACATATCCACTAATTTCCCCACATCTTCCTTATTTTCTGGGATTACAAGGTCCAAGGCGTCCCTTTCCTCAGCCCATCTGTGGAATTTTTTGGAGAACAGGAAATGAAGTGAAAAATTAAGTCACACTTAAAAGATTTTATTCTAACAAATTTAAAAAGTAACTCCCATATACTGTGCCTTTACTATGTACCACTACCAAGTTTATGGAATTAAAAACATCATCTCCATTAATCTTCCCAACTACTGCATAAATCAAATATGAACATCCTTCTTCCCAACTATACAAATAAAACCAGTTGTCCAAATAAAATGTTGTCATATGGGCCCTCCCTGGTGGTGCAGCAGGTTAAAGCACAGCACTAAAAAGCTAAAGCCACTTCCACATGAGTTCAATCCCCGCCTGCCCCGGAGATGACCACATGGCAAGGCAGACCTCTCCTGACCCGCCCGCTGCTCCCCTCAGCAATGTACTTCGTCCATCTGCCTGTTCTGCTCCTCACTCTGTCTCTGGTGAATCCTCTCACTCGCCACATCTCTGGCCTGTACCCCAGTTCTGTATGAATAAATAAATCAATCTTTAAAAAAAAAAATGTTGTCCTATGATTTCACAAAATCACACAACAGGTAAAATGCAAGAGGAAGTTATAACCCTCAAAACCAATGCACTTAATCATTTGAAATGAGCATTCAGGGTTTTATATACATTCATTATGCCATGTTTATTGAGTTTATTAAGTTATTCAAATTGTCTATATTAACTTTAATATATTTTGATTTATACACTCTATCATGAGCCATGTATATAATTATGACTTAATCAGTTTTTCCCATTACTTCTGTGTGTGTGTGCTTTTGTATTTTATTTGTATGGTACATTATTATGTCCAAACAAGTTTAATGTCCCTAATATCATTACCTGCCTTAAAGATAACTTTGTGTGATACTGTCATATGACTTTCTTTATGAAGTTCCTGGTGTATATTTTATACTCATTTTGTTATCAACCTTTCTCTGTCTTAAGTTTTATATTTGTTTTTGTAAAATAAAGCTAAAATTTTTCATTGAACTTGAGTATATTCCCAACATTCCTAGTTTTCCTCACCCTATTTTTTCTTTTTTCATAGATCAATGGATATATAGATTAATATTTTTCAGAAAACTTTGGACATTTTTGGATTTGACTAATCAAGTATTTTTTCAGCCATTTTCTCTTCACTGTCTCTGCAATGTCCCTTATATGAAAGTTGACAGAACTGGTGAATTTCAACAAGTATGTGAGCTTCTCTTCACTTTTCTCCAGCTATTTTTCTATTATCAGTCTGTGTAATCCCAATTTACCTAGCTTCATGTTCACTGATTACTTCTTCCAGTAAACCTTATAGTGATCGCCTTTAGTGATTTTTACCTATCTATTACTGTAACTTTCACCTCCAGAATTTCCATTCCCCACACTTCTACTCATTTTAATTGATTTTCTCTACTTGGAGAAACTCCTTTGAAAACAAAATAACTGATCAAATGTTTTGGTTAATAAACCTAGATTTTGACTCTGTGTGTATGTGTGTGTGTGTGTGTGTGTAGGTGCTGACTTTCTGGTTCCTTTGCAGATCTTTATATGTCGACACCGAAACTCATACATTCCTCTTGTCTTGCTCCTCATGATCTATTATGGATGATAATGATCATAAGGTGTCTATTTATTTAGTGACTTAGATGGACTAAATCTCTAAAATTTATATTCTTTGTTTTCTGTGGCAACTTAAGTCTGCTTAGGTAGCTTACTGGTCATCTAATGATCAAACAGAGATTTCCTTAGATGTCTTGAACCAACAGGTTTCCCAGTCTTTGCCGAGG